CCTGCTAGCTGAGCTACATGAGCATTCGATTTTCGAGAAGATTCCTGGAATACTCTATGTGCTATACCTCAAATTAAAGTTCTCTGTCTGGGCTGCAAGACAATAATATGGTATTAGCATTGACTATCATTCATCTTCATGATATCATTGTTATTTGAGAGTGAAAATGGCCAGGCAAGACCTCAACTCATGGAACTGAGGCTAGAAAATTCTTTGAAGATCTTCCAGTCAAGAAATTGCCAATTCCTATGATTATTGATGACTATAATCATAATATGAATGGGATTGACCTAGCAAATCAGTATAGGGAACCCTATGAGACTCATAGAACTACATATCACAACTGGTTTCTCCAATTATACTGGATCTTGGATACTGCAGTTATCAATGATATAAGCTTCAATATCTTTATATGAAGCAGCAAGGGGTCTCGGCTAGTCAGCTACTCAAGCATAAGCTTCCGGGAGGAGCTCTATCAGCAACTCTTTGTCTTTGCCAGCTCAACCCATGATCTACCATCTGAATGGCTGAAACCTTTACTGAATGACAAGCAATTTTCATTGCCAAAGAGCCTTGTTTGTGTATGGTGTCAGGATAAATGACTCGATGTTGGGAGGAATTCCATACAATGAAGATGGAATCCCATATTACCTAACTAGGCTAGCTAGAAATAAGGTTCAATAAATTACCAATTACCAATTACCAAATAATACCAAATATTACCTAGTTATATAAACCAATAATCTTAGGTAAAATATACCAATGAAACCGCGCTAGGTCTGGCAACATTTTTACGGACGAAGGGGGATAACATCGAGAGGCACGTGATTAAGCAGCATCCACTATTAACTAGTTAAATAGTTAACTAATAATTAATAACGAAGTTAGTTAGTTAAACTAACTAGTTGTTAACTTAGTTAATTAGTTAATAATTGACACAATCAGATAATGATGACTCAGCAATTGTAGCTGGTGCATTTGGTGCGCCACAACCAGTCCCAATCGAGAAACCTTCCAAGCAACCAACCTCAGGCTCTGCTGAGCAGAAAGCTTCCACCGAGGCCATATCAAACTACCGCCAACGTCTTGCTTATGCTGGGAATTCATCCACGCTGTGCCATACATGTTACAACATCTGTGCTCAGTTCATACCGTTTCTAAATATCGCAGACCATCGTTCATTTTGACCCGGTATCTCTCTGTTGTTCCCTTCACTTTCTTTTTGAGGTTGTCGACTCCCCATCTCTCCGCCGCCGTCGCCACCTCACCTCTAAAATCTTACCTTCGCAGACAACAGGCGCTCCCGCGACCATGTCTGTTTCCATCAAACTGGGTACTCCCCTTGCAGAGGCTCTTAACGAGGCCATACAACCGAAGCTGGTCGAAGTGGGTTGGAGCACGGGTGGAGGAGATGACTCCGCTTTGGCTGAATACGTCATTCTTATGCTCGTCAACGGGAAAACTCAGGATCAGATTGCTTCGGAGTTGGCAAACGATCTTCTAAGTCTTGGCCCAGAAGATACAGAAGCTGTTGATTTTGCAAAATGGCTATTTGAACAGGTCCACGAACTGAACAACAGGATAAATGTGGCGGCTCCCGCAACAGAGCAACATGCTGCGTCGCAAGCTATTCCTTCAATTTCAGCACAGCAGGGCAACTCACTCTCAGCGGTTGCACATGCGAGTGATGTAGGGGATTCTGCGATGAGTAGTGATATTGCTGCAGGGCAGGATGGTAATATGTCAGTCCACATTTCCCCATGTTTTTGTTTTAGCTTGCTCCTCAGCTGACTGGCACGAAATTAAACAGCCCAACCGGTCCAAAGAGTGCGCGGAATCCTAGACAACAACAAGGTGGACGGGGCAGGATGGTGGGCCAAATAAACAAGACCTTGGACCGCGCGAACGACTCCGTCTTACATCGGGTGCGCAATCACCAAGGTTCAGAAAGGATCAACAGCCACTCCAGAGAACCCCCGAAGGCCCCAAGAGGGTTTCAGCTAAGAAATGGACGTATGCCGTCAGGAAGGCCTTCTGGTCCGATGGGAATGGGTATGGGGATGGGCATGGGGATGGGCATGGGGATGCCTGGTGGCCAGATGCCGAATGCTCCGCCATTTGGAATGGTACCATTAAGTCCTCAACAACAGATGCAAATGATGGCTATGCTGGAAGAGCAGGCTCGCATGATGGCTCAGATTATGCCGGGGATGGTCCCACCTGCCATAAATCCCGCTTTTCAAAATGGTCCTCCTCCAAACCAACAGGGGCGCTCCCTTTTTGAGCGCGCAGAGATGCAACCAAACAGGAACCAGCATTTTGCTCGACGGGATCATGTGAATGGCCATTCTTCGAACTTCCACCGGCAAAATGAAAATGTCGATACAGAAATGGACACTGCGCATAACGACGCAGAATCTTCAATGGACGTTGATGCCGCCCACGAAGCACAACCTGCCGAACCAGGACCCAACACCGTCTGTCGATTCAACCTGAAATGTACGAGGAAAGACTGTCCCTACGCTCATCAATCCCCCGCCGCCCCCGAAGGCGTCGTCGTAGACGTGAACGACGAATGCCCCTTCGGCGCAGCGTGCAAGAATCGAAAATGTGCCGCCCGACATCCCTCACCGGCCCAGAAGGCAGAACACCAGGCCGAAGAACTCTGTCGATTCTTCCCCCACTGCACGAACCCGAACTGCACTTTCAAGCATCCAAGCATGCCCATGTGCCGGAATGGAGCGGACTGTTCGACGCCAAATTGCAAGTACACACATCTGCAAATTGCCTGCAAATTCAACCCTTGTCTTAATCGGATATGTCCGTACAAGCATGCTGAGGGTCAGCGGGGCGTGTTTGCGGATAAAGTGTGGAGGGCGGCCGATAGTGAGAAGAAGGAACATGTTAGCGAGCGCAGGTTCGTGACGGATGAGGATGGGCAGGAGGAGCTTATTAAACCTGAGGTTGCTAATACGTCCACGCCGGACGAAGTGAGGGGGCAGGAGATTTTGACTTGATATAATTTCTGTATCATTCTTTTTTGTTTCTTGTCTGATTGTGATGGATGATCTTTTCTTTGAACTGTGATTGGCATTATTTCTTTCCCTTCCTTTCCCTTTTAATAAAGAGGCACCTTTACTATTCTTGTTCCCCCCCCCCCCCCCTTTTTTTTTTTTTTTTTTTTTTTTTTTTTTTTGCTCATAGTTTCTCGTTCTGTTAAACCATGTATTACACTTTAAAAGCTACCTGGTATGTACTGACATGACTGGCGTTGGATAGGTAAAGGTTGTTTTATCTATTTGTTCCTCTGTATTTAGCATAAGAACGGATTTCAACTGGCAAAAGGGCGTAGGATATCGAAGACATTTTTTTGCACAGCTGAATCCTGGACTATCTCGGATATGGAATGGTGTTTTAACAGATGAAAGATGTTGTCCTTTCTTCTTCATCTCTTTTGTTTGTTTGGTTCTGTATTCTACTTGCCTTACTATTCAGTTCTATGTTGGTATTTAGTTCAGGGTGATTTTCATTGGCTTTGAGTCTACGTATAGTTACACGCAGGCGTTGAAGAAGCAGACAAAATGATGACCTGCAGTGAAATTATCATGCCAACCGCGTTCTTCATACTCATCTTCATACTCCAAGATATGCCATTGTTTTTACACATTCCATAATCCAAGCGAAGCAGCTTCTGTTTGAGGAATTGACCTAGAAGCAAGCCTTTACACAGGATGTGCTTCGATTGTAGAGCAATTGGTGGGTTATGACGGGTGAGGCTGATGACAAGCCCTGAGCTAGTCGAATCGGGAAGAGTTCAACACTGCGCATATTTACCATGAACGGACCACCATCATAAACCACCAAAACTCCGAAAATTAGCCACTGTGATAGAACATATCGATTCAGTTGCAAATGAGTCAGCGATGCTTATTCTGTTGCACCCTAGACGAACTATGGGCGCATGCTCGCCCCAGATTACACCCATGGGCCCGATCTAAACGGTGGTTCACAACTCGGCGTCCTGCATCCTTTCGCCGATTCTCCTCCGCTCCGGCCACCAACCAGAAAAACATCGCGGTCATCGGTGCTGGTGTAACGGGTCTGTCAACTGCATATCGTCTTTCCCAAGACAAAAATGCACGGGTTACCGTCTACGAAAAGTCACACAGACTCGGGGGTTGGTTGCAATCAGAAATAATCGATGTTGATGGCAGGGATGTCCTGTTCGAATATGGCCCCCGAACTCTCCGTGCGGGATATCGGGGAAGCTTATCAACTTTGGAGTTGGTGAGGCATCTGGCTATAAAACCGTTCCTTCAATTCCACTTAGCCATCTTGTATTTACCCTAAAGCTAATGTGCGTATGTGGAGCTTGATTCAGTTATTCGACCTGGGTCTCAAAAATGATATTTTAGCAACGAAGAACGACTCCCCCGCTGCCTGCAATCGATACATTTACTATCCAGACCACCTAGTCCGCCTTCCGGGGCCATATCCTGGTTATGGCTCTCTAGCGAATATCTTGATGAATGTGATACAACTATGTACAGAGCCAGTGCTCTGGAAACTTGCGGTAGAAGTGATCCGCGACCCAAGCAGACAGGAACGTGACCGTTCTATAACGGACGAATCCATCGGAGATTTCATGAAGCGGTGTTTTGGCCCTAATGTGGCAGACGTTGTTGGCTCCGCTTTTTTTCACGGCATCTATGCTGGCGATCTGTACAGGCTAAGCGCGCGTACGATTTTACGCATTGCCTGGGACGAATTTCAGCTATCTGAACGGGGATTTGCAACAGAGCTTATGGAATATATCAATAAAAAACGGTTTACCATGCCTTACGATATTTTCAAGGCGCGCCAGCTTGTTTCTAAGGAGAAAATAACAGATATCTGTAATTTTGCCGCGGGTAATAACGTTTTTACTCTCCGTAGAGGGTTGGGGCAACTTGCAACTTCACTGGAATCGTCATTAAGGAGTGCACCAAATGTGGAGATCCAGACTGGATCCCAGATTAAATATATCTCTAAGGGAGTAGACCCATCACCAATGACTGTATGGCAAATCCCAAATTCTCATATCTGAAAATATTCGTGTCATTCTTTCAGGCTAACCATATTATACATGATACAGCTCGCCCTAGCAGACGGCACCACCTCCAATTTCGACTTCATAATCTCCACCACCCCATCCACAGAACTCTCCAACCAACTCCTCAACTCCCCAACTCACCCCCCGCCAACCGCCGTAACAAACATCCTCAACCAAAACGACTACGCCGTAGCCGTCATGGTCGTTAACCTCTACTACAAAAACCCCAACCTATTTCCCCATCGCGGCTTCGGCTACTTAATCCCCCGTTCCATCCCTTTCGACCTAAACCCCGAACGCGCCCTGGGCGTCATCTTCGCCTCAGACAGCAGCGCAGGTCAGGATACGGCACCAGGCACCAAGCTCACCGTCATGCTCGGCGGGCACTGGTGGGATGACTGGCTTCCCAGCGACTTACCCGATGAAGAGAGCGCCATAGCCATGGCCAAGTCAGTGCTGGCGCGCCATTTGCGCATCGCCGAAGAACCAACTGTTGCCAAGGCGCGCTTGCAGCAGGATGCGATTCCGCAGCCTACGGTTGGGTATGTGTTGAGGATGGAGAGGTTGCATGAGGCTATGGAGAGCCAGTTTGGGTCGCGGTTGAAGGTTGCTGGGGCGTGGTATACGGGCGTTGGTGTTAATGATTCGATATGTGCTGGGAGGATTGTGGCGGGGGCGACGCTTGCGGGGCAAGAAGGGGTTACCGGGTTGGAGCGATATCTGCCGCAGAATTTTAAGGGGAGGTTTGTGGAAGAGGGTTAGGTGGAGTGATAGTATGATATTTTTGGGTGGTAAAATATTAGGGACATTTCCTTTTTTCCTTGTAGAATGTAAAATATGCTAGAAGAGGATACACAGAGGGGCTCTTTAGAATATATTTAGTGATCTGGTTCTCCGTGGGGTTGTGCATTGTGAGAATGAAAACAGAAATTATACCCATTGGCTGTGACAATTCGATTTAGCAAGTATCGAGCAGAAGTATGCATTCTTTTATTCGGTTTCGCTACCATCATTCTATCCCCAGATATCGCTAATGGTTTATCCGTGCGTATCGTATCAATTTTATCCCAATTGTATCGAACGTCTTCCCCTAAATTTCAACCCAAGATATCTCACGCTGGTGTACTTCTCAAATTCACTAGTAACCCTCTGCGACGCGCAATAGGAAAAATTTTTAAATTAGCACCGGCAAATCCATGCCCAACCAACCCCATATTGTCTTCATCCTAAGAGGTTGGTATGCGATTTTCGTGTGCGTGGATGCAAGCTAATTGCATGATCATAGCAACACATGAGTTGCACGTCTGCCTTCCCCTCAAATCTTCGCATGCGGCGGTAGGATGTAATAATGTATGCACAACTCTCCCTCATCGTCGTGTCATTCAAATTCGCAATTTCAAAACAGTAAATCCCGTGGCGCACAGAAGATATCAATCATCAAGTTGCTTCTCAAACTTCATTTCCATTACCTCCGTCATATGGCTCACGGGCCTACAGCTTCCTTCTTCCTCTCCCCGTCCGAATCAAACCCCAACGCATCTAACTGTCTTACCAGTTCCTGAATTTTGATAACCTTCTCAAACTGCTCGGGTAGCAGATTCTCGCCATTGTCTTTCTTCTCCCTCAGCTCCCTGGCCTGCCTCAGCTTCTTGCGCAGACTGCGGGCTTTCTTCTCCTTTTCAGCTTCAGGATCCACGACAGCATCAGGAGCAACAACAGCGATACCATGTTCCTCCCCTTTTTCCCTCCAGTTGTCCTTCTCCATAGCCTTGCCCCCAACTCCGCCTTCCGTCTTTATCGAAGCAACATTATCACTTGCGACAGCCTTAGCCCTCTTCTTCGCCTCGCGCTTCTTCGCATTTTTGTTCCTCGCAGCTATAGCCATGGGAGCATCAGGAGATTCATCATTTAAGCTTTCTGCGCCGGGGATACCAGCTCCCTTCCCGCGATTCTTCCATGCCTCAGCTGTGCGGTTTTTGTAGACTTGGATATCCTCTGGAGGGCGATAACCTGGGCGAACTTTGATTTCGCGGCGCTGGGAGCCATCTGGGCGAATAGAGGCTGGGATGTGACGTTCGCCGGTCAGGGCATTGACTGTAATTCCCGAGGAAGAGATGGCGTCTTTATCTGTGTCTGTGATGGTGGTTTGTGGCTTGGGAGCCATGATGAATGATGTGTAGATGTGTGTTGTGTTTGACTGCAGCGTTGTGTTCTTGTGAAACAGGATTTATGTATTATGGTAAAGTGAGATGAGGCGTAACTAACCAGCAAACTAGTTTATCTAACACAGTCCCTGTTAACTTGTTGCATTGTATATTGAGCTGATCTCCAATTGAGCTTTTTTTTCTGTGCTATTGGCAGAATCCAAGGCGGAGAGTCAGCTGACCAATCACCGCCCTCTGAATTCCTGACGCTTTTCCTCTTCTTTCCCTTACCATTCATTCTCATGTCAATTTATCTACAACATCATCGACAATAGCAACAATCTCTTGACGCAATTGTTGCTCGCATATCAAATCCACTCATTTTACCCTTTGTCTGTTGAAATCCCATCTGTCTCTCTCTTTTGCCATGGCTGGAGTATGTCACTTTCAATTCCCAATACCAGGCGTGGAATCAATGCTAATCAGATCTCACATTTTCCAAAGATCTCCGGAGCCATATACAAGCAAGGCTTCCCTCCTCTACTTCTATTCTTCAGTTAATCGAACTGCTGAAAGCTAACCGTATACCTTAGCGTCCTCTTCCGACGAAATGCCGTCTTCCTGAGCTCGATGTTCGTCGGCGCGTTCGTATTCGAAATGTATGCATATTATTTCGTTTTTTATCCAATGAAAACAAAAACACACTCATTTATAAAGGTGTGGTATATGGTGGAGTTGTATTGAAATTGACAGAATTCTTTCTCGTTGTACCTTTTATAGT